CTCCCTCCCTCCCCCCCTCTCGGTAGTAGAGAGCCAGCTCAATAACAATGTGTGTCAGCTTGTTGGAGAACACCGTGAAGCCAGCTTGCCAGGACTTCCTATACTATATAAGTTTGGCATATGAAACTATACTTTTATTCTAGTTTGTTCTAAGTAACAACAATCTAAAAAAAACCCCTATGGTTTTAAATTTAAAATTCATAAAGAACCCAGATTATCTTATCTCTCATACAGAAGTAGAAGAGAAAGGAACCATTCCATATGCCTCATATATTATATCATATCATATCATATTAATTATATTATAATTATATTACATTATAATTATATTATATATACATTACGTTACATAGGCTAAACAAACAAGCAGTCTTAATTTAAACTTACCGGCCATCTTGCTGAGCAGCGCCACCTTCAGTTATTGTTTTTACAAATATACCCAATTTTTCCAGTCCCTGATCTGCACCAACACCCATTCCTATTATACTGATACCCAAGCCATTGTCACCTGTAAGAAAAACACAACAAACCAAATGATCCTATTTTTGTAATTTGATAAGTCTGCTGTTATCATAGCTAATGGCTGAGACTAATGAAGGGGATGGGACAGCTGGAACATATATCAGTGGGGCACAATGATTTGAGGCCCATCTGAAAGCCTATTCTGAAGCAATAAAAGCAGAGAATACAGCTTACTTCTTGGCTTTCACTGCGTACAGCTCAAAAAAGAGTTTGTTTCATGCAGTGAAGCATCTTCTTCATCATATTTGGGTGTGAGGAGGATGTGGAAGAGCTGGAGAATCTTTCTGACAATTTGCATCCTTTTTTTTTTTTTTTTTGCAAATGAAGTCAATGAAATCTATTTTGAATGGAATTTCAAGTGTTCAGTTGAATCCTAAGGAGGAAACCTCAGCAACAACTTGTCCCCTTATTTTGGATTATTTGGGGCTTGTAGAAGAGTTTCAATGGGATGGATTCCATAGGAATTTATAATCAACTAGAGACTCCTGGAAGTTCACAATTATAAAAACACTGCACAGAAGGGGGGGGGAAGTGCCCCCTGGAAAACGAATCTTTTAACATTGTCTAGTATTTTCTGGAAGGAGCAAGTCTAATTTTTGAGAGGAAATCATTTCATGAGGCCAGAACTGGATGGAAAAAATAGCACTTCCTGGCTTAATGTGTCAAAACTAGCACTGTACATTCTACAGGGAAACATACAGGCAACCAATAAAGGGCAGACAACAAAGATGTTATGTATTTCTGGTGGTTAGTACTTGCCATTATGTGAGCTGACACATTCTGCACTAATTGCTGTTGTGGTGTCTTCAAAGCCATCACAACAGCAATGTAGAGCACATTGCAGTAATCTAGATAGGCAATGATCAAGACATGCGTTACAATAGAAAGATAGTCTGTTAGAGAAGTAAGGTTGTAACTGGGGAACCAGCTGGCACTGGGTGAATGCCCTCCCAGCCACAATCTTTTCCTGCCTTTCAAGCATCAGGTGTGAATCCAGGAAGACCCCCAAATTGCAGCCATGCTTCATCAGGGGGTTATGCCTGCCCCTTGATAACTATGCAGCAAACCAAGAATCACAGTGGATCAACAGACATTCCCTTTTGCAATGATTCAACTTTAGTGGGTTTTTTTTCTTCATCCAGACTGCAGCAGCTTCTAGGCAATGAGACAAAAGTTTCAAAGCACTGCATTCTCTCTTGACAAGCAGGTCAGCAGCCTGAAAGTAGTCCTTGGTTTTCATCTATTATGATCACAGTTGGTAGATGTGCCACAATATGTTTGCTAGTCTAATTTGACAATAATTATCTATGTCGTCATTGTATCTCTTCTTGACTACTCCAATTTACTTTACATTGAGTAACACCCTAAGTCACAAATGATATATAATGTGGCAGCTAAATGTAAGTTATGTAAGTTACAAGGATCACAAGATGCCAGTAGAACTTGCTAATTGCTCATTGGCAAAAGTGAATGTGTTACTATGACCTTTAAACTCTGAACAACTTAGGGACTATTTCCAGTCATATGAACAGCAAAAGAAGGCCCTTCTTTGAAGATGTTCATGTTTTCAGAAATCTGTCTATCTATCTAGCACCTATGGATCCAAGGCTATGGAATACAGCCCCTTGGGAGCTGGGTTCAGTTCCCACTGCCCAGTGTAAAAAAGAAAATAAAGAATAAAAATAGATTTTCTTAGCCAGGTCTTTAATTTTTAATGAATCGATTTTTGGAATTATTTTTATACTTTAAAAGTAATAGCTTCTTTGATTATTTCTTTAAAGCTAAGGTAGATATTAAAAGACAGATCAACCTATCCTTATAATACAAACTGAAATATTGAAGTATTTAAAGACTCCACAGAATAAAGAATGATGTCAATCTAGGTAATTTTTCTACTATTCCTGCAGACTTAAGAACTGGAATTTGCATTACCAAAACTAAGGGATTAAGCTTTAAACTTGATGGTACTTAACACTACTATTTAAATATCAGTTGACATCAAACCTAATACTACTTAGCATAACCACATTTCTCTAATCCTCACCCTATTTTTCTTGATGTATTCCGAAAACATAAATCAGATAAAGTCTGAAAGTTCATACATTACCTTAAAGTTTGCTAATGACATTGTCTCAGTATGAGTTTTGACTTTTTCTTTCATTACTAATATATTAAAAAGTTTACTTTTTATAGTGCTGTATTTTCTTTTCAGCTTTTATAAAATAGTTCCCAGCCCTAATACAATCAACTTTTTAGAAGACAATCTTAAGCTTAAAAGTAATTTATATTCTTGACTTTGTAATGCTAAAACTAATTAGAAATTTTGCAGTATCAATGATGCAAAATTAAGATATAAACATTAAAAGGCCTTGTTGTTTCTCCAGGATAGACATTTGAGATTTGTACCTTTTTCAATTTCCACAGGAAAAACCTCCATTTTTTCCACCCTTTTCTCAAGTTCATATTCCGCTGATGCGGCCACAGGGTCCACCTCTTCATTGCGTCTATCGTAGTCTTCATTTGAGTAAGTACTGAATACCTAAAATAATACAGTATTTTTTAAAAATACCCATGCAAGTTGAACAGATTTAAATGTCAATTAAACAACTTAGAACATGCACATGTTATACCTATTTGCAAATCAATGTTTGAGAGTATGTGGACAACATAGCAAATTGCCTTCTGGTAATTTTTAAAGTCAATAAAATCTTTAATCTTTTTAAACATGTTATTTGAAAAATGATGTTTTTCAGTACTAGGACTACCTCAATAATAAGACTATACTCATAATACAGCTCTTCAATTAAAAATATTATTAGAGGAATTACGTTACGTTATTCTATATTATACCTGAAGCAAAATGTCACATGAATTACATACTTAACAAAATCAGGAACTGATTTCAGAAACTGATACATATTTACACAAAAAAACCAACATTGCTATATTTAAAATCTCACCCCCAATGGAAAAATAGACAAAAAAAGTGATAAACATATAAAAATCCATGCTTTCTAACTTTTTTCTTTTTTTGTTAACAATATTTGCCAACTCCTATTGAAACTAATCTCCTGCAACAAATGTGGGCATATGAGCAAACACACTGGTCATAGTCTACACCCAAAAAAGGAAAAAAATAAATAAATTACTATTAACTGAATTGTCAACTGATTAAACTGTAAAATAAGGTATCCATTAGTAAAACTGATCTTCCATATGCATCCACAATACACAAAGTAGTCTACAAACTACTGTCTCTCACATACTAACTACTCTCTCAAATATAACTATGCAGAGGTCTGCATATGTAGATTCACACATGAAAAAAGCAACAACACATAAACCAGGGAATAACGCTATAGATGCTTCCTCTGTATTAAATCTTTAGACTCTTCTGGGTAAATAGGCATAGGCTGTTACTATGCTGGAGATGGAATCATTTAGTCAGCTTATTTATTTAAAGGGTCCGTAATATTATCTGGGACACTACATATCCTCTTCACGACCTGTTTTCCTTGTTACCTTCTGGGAGGAGGCTTCGTGGTATCCGAAGCAGAACATCCAGATTGAGCCAGAGTTTCATTCCATACAGCATTAACCTTGCGAACTCTCAAGCTTCCTCCTTCCGTTATATATTCAAGATGGACAGTGTTTAATATTTATTTGTTATATATATGTGGATCTATACATATGTTGTATACAGTATGTTTAGGTGTGCGTCATGTATGTGTTTCACTTTGAGAGCGGGCAACTAAATTTCATTTTTGATGTGTGCCGTTGTGCCCACAATAAAAAAATGACAATAAAGGTTATCTTATCTTATCTTATGTATGTTGGAGTGGAAACAAGGAGATGGATGTATATTTTCTTTTTCTTTGCAAAAAAATTAATTGACACATACTTTTCAGCTGAGCTACAAGTACAAAAAACCCTGTTTTGTGTGTCTTCATCTTGAGGCAATAATAGACTTAATTTTTGGACTAAGAAGCATTTGTTTGCTAACATCTGCAATCATCTTGAGAACTTAGTCTATAAATACAGATGACAGAGTATGCTTTAATAGAAACAAAAAACAAAAAAAAATCACTAGTTTGAATTTGAAGATGAGTGGCCACATAATGTTAAAATAAATAAATTCGAATATACTTTCAGAAATGTTTCAAAGAATAGATTCTAGCACTGAATGAAGTTCAATGTTAGTGACTGAATCTGGAGTCAACTTGCTGTTTGCTTCTTGGAGGGCAGCACAGTTTTACGAAGACAGTGCTCGTAAATCATATGTAGGACATCTTTGCTGGAGAAGCTAGGTCCAAAAAGAAGACACCAAAGTGCTTCCGCTTCAGCTGTGGCAGCTGGGTTCAAAAGGAGAAAAGTTGGCGCAGGAAAATGGGAAAAAAGGCAGTTGGGTGAATGAATGCTTACTGGGGCTTCACGGATACTGCAATGCTGAGGAGCCATGTATAGGAAGCTGGAGAAGTTGGAGTGCCCAGGGTAACATAGTGGACAAGGTTCCAAAAAGGAGACTGCAAACACAGCAAGGCAGCAAACACTGCTTCAGTGGCTGGGCGCAAAGGTCAATGTGGGAAACTGAGAGAAGGCAGCTGGGTGAACAAATGCCTGTTGGTGCAAGCTGGGCGGCTGAGACTCCCCAGAGCATGGGAAGCAGTCCCAGAACCACATAGTTTTGGGACTGCTTGCTGCCATACAAGGCAGGGTGCACAGCATCCAAAAGGGAGTAAATGGGGAAGAGATAGGCAAGCTGAAGGAACTGAAGCGCCCCCTACAGTTTAAATGTGGGTGAGATGCTGAGCCCCTGAATTTTGATACATGACCTCTAAAGTGCTGCAACTGCCATAACTTTAGGCACAGGCTATTAATTCAGCACTGTCATAACTTTGAACAGTCACTGAATGAATGGTCGTACACCAAGGACTAGCTGTAGTCTGTACATCAAAAGAAAACCCTAACTATATGCTAGTTACAAAATGGATAAAATTGTTTCCGAGGAGAATTATTGTTGTAAATGGAAGACAGGAGAACAACAGAAAGCAAAACAAGAAATGGAATAGGACACATTTCTAAAACCCTGACGATCTGAGGAATTTGTTTCTGTTCCTAATCTGTGCCTTCATTTTCACGCCACAAACTATATAAGACATCTTATTTGGGAATAGTTTAATGAAAGCTCTTATATGATGTCTGGGTAAGTCAGCCAAATGCAAACAAGCCTGACTGACTAAAACATCAGTATAAAAACTGTGCCTGCCTTGCAGATGCTAATAGAAGCATGTCTGAACATGCAGCATCCATACATTAGTAAATATCTTTATGCCACCATGTCCTTTTTCCTTTTCTAAGGACTGTCTGCATTCCAGTTTTTGTGTGGCCTTATGAATTCTGATATGTGAATAGTAGTTATTATGGATTATGCTAATTTACTGCATTTAAGCAAAGCAGATGTTTCTTCTAATGTTCCAATTGCATCAGCACAAGCACCCTGAAAAAACAGTAGGTATATTAACTTATTTGACTTTTGTTCATAAGAATCCATTTGAACCAGCTGAGGGCTGAATTCTAGTCCTGCCTGAGGCATGAAAGCTGGCTGGCTGACTTTGAGCCAGTCATTCTCTCTCAACCCAACTCACCTCTTATAGTTGTGGGGAAAATAGGAGGAGGAAGGAGTATTAGATAAATTCATTGCCTTGAGTTATTTATAAAAAAGAATAAAGGCAGGATTAAAAAAATCTAAAAAATATAAACAGCATTCTAATAACTGGGTACCTGCTTTATGTCTAATGTTATTTCTTACTTTCTATTAATTTAAGAGTGTTCTGATAGTGGTATTTTAACCATGCCATGTATGGCAGCCCTAGTATATCACCACAGCGCAAGAACAAAATGCATCCTGTAGAAATTAATACAGATAACTTTATAATAAAAAAATGTAAATTACAGCAAGAAGAAATGTATTTAAAGAAAAAATACATATGTTTATGGACCAAATCATTTTCATACAAAACACATATTTCAGTCACATAACTGATTAAACAGACTTGTCTAAAAGAGTAGATATTGCAAGAGGGTTTTTTGTTAAATTATATATGAACTAGCCTAGATGGGAAATTGTTACAATAGGTCTTAATGTGAGCAAAAAACAGAGTAATTCCATAATATGTTTTCATGTATCAAGAAAAGAAGCATCTTCCTTACTAAAACAAGAAATAAATACCCTGCTAAATATTTACAAATAGATGCTATGAAACTAATTGTGAAAAAAAAAATCTAAAGAGCATAGTTGTGGATAATACTGCAATGTAATATTACAAGAAACTTAGAACAAAGTGGAAAAGTCCCCAAATACCATAGAAATAAAATGTTCATTTATTGCATTTCCTAGCTATACATTTCAATGTTTAAGAAATAAAATCTCATTTTTTAAAAAAATAAATAAACAGATGGAAGATCTTAACATGGGGTCAAAGAGAAATATAAAGCATTTGATAACCATCCTAAAATCTATTTTTAGAAAAAAAAAAGTTAGGGTAACCTTGAAAAAAACAAAACAATAGACAATAGTAAGAATGAAAGACACACACAAAACAAAGGAAAAAGCCCTGTCTCCAACTAATTTTCTTGCCAACACCGGAGTCAATTTTTAACTGCTAAAGAAGAATTGACTAGGATATAAATGTAGGCATCCAATCAATCTTCCACAACATCAGCTATAAAATTCAGGGGAAAGCATGAGTCATTCAAGAAATATACTTAAGACTTACAACTACAACTGAGCCTAAAATTTCCACGGCTAAGCAAGACAGTTGTTAAGTGAATTTTGCCCCATCTGATGACTTTTCTTGCCATAATTATTAAACGTATCACCGAAATTGTTAAGTTAGTAATCCAGTTGTGAAATGAATCTCTGGTTTCCACACTGACTTTGCTTGTCAAAAGGTTGCAAAAGGGGAATCACATGACCCCGGCACTCTGTAACCATCATAAATAAATGCCAGTTGCAAAGGGCCCATATTTTGATAATGTGACCATGGGAATGCTACAATGGTTGTAAGAGTGAAAGATGGTCAAAAGACACTTTTTTCAGTGACTTTGAACTGTCACTAAATGAATGACTGTAAAGTCAAGAAGTACCTGTACTTCATTTTTATGTTTAAAAGTGATATAATATATATGGCAATCAGCTATTTTTTTCCTATTACTTTTTTATCAAACATGGAATGATAATCTGAACTAGGTCAGCCTCAAATATTGATTTATTTGTTGAATTTATTTATTAAAATTCTACATTGCCCATCTCACCAAAGTGACTCAGGGAGGTTTACAACCATCATGCATAGTAATTTCATTCTTTATCTCTATTTTCCTTAGTCTGGAAATGAAAAACAAGCAATCTTACTTTTATAGTTTGCATATTACTCTCTGTTTTGAATTACTTCCAAATAAAAAAAAAATCACAATCAGGAAAACTTCACTTAATGTTTCCAACATAATGATCTAACTAATATCCATAAGTATTTTTCCACTTTTAAATATACAAATCTCACTCACTTGGAACTTACAGCCAAAGACACTTTATCATTCTAGGCAGAAAGATTAAGGGGAATCTTAATTAATATGATATTTACTACAACATTAACGATAATATTACTGTGCTAAAAGATACTGATTCATTTCCTCTTTTAACATACTATAGTAATGTTTGCACATTTTACTGTATCTGGCTTCCATGTGATGTTCTCTGGATAAGCTGGAATTCAGCTTGCATAATTGCTAGCTAACCTGCTCTTTGCCCACAGTAGTTGAAAATGAAAAGAATGTGCAATGTATCTGTGGGCGAAGCATGGAAAAAGATGAACTAAATCATAACTTAGTATGGCATAAAGAAAGATGAGCCAAATGTTTTGAATTCACTTACTTTTCTCTTTATTTTTTTAAAAACCATAGCTGATGTTCATCACAGTTAATCCGCTCAAATAATATAAGAGATTACTTACAACCTCTGAATTAGCACCATGGAAAACTGGTGGGGAGTTAGTGATACAGACCCCTTTTTCCATTTGCACCCATAAGATATCCCTGGGCAGAATTGCTAGCCAGCAGAGGTAATTTGTACAAGTAGTCCTCGACTTATGACCACAATTGAGCTCAAAACTTTTGTTGCTAAGTGAAACATTTGTTAAGTGAATTTTGCCCCATTTTACGACCTTTGGTGCCACAGTTGTTAAGTAAATCATTGCAGCTGTAAGTTAGTAACATAGTTGTTAAGAGAAGTTGGCTTCCCCATTGACTTTGCTTGTAAGGTGACAAAAGGAAACACATGATCCCGGGACACGGCAAAAATATGAACCAGTTGCCAAGCATCTGAATTTTGATCAAGTGTCTGTAGCGATACTGCAATGGTTGTTAAGTGTGAAAAATGCTCATAAGTCACTTTTTTTCAGTGCCATTGTAACTGAATGGTCACTAAATGAAGTCATTTGAGGACTGCCTGTATATTATTGCACAAGTGTACTTAAAAGAAGTTACTTAGCACAGTTTTGTTATCATTAATCACTCTGGCTTGCCACTTATCTGTTACTTATTATCACTTTAAGATAAACAGGACGACACCAGCTCCCTAATCTAATACCTGCCAAGGGAACGGGGAGTTAAGAGCGATGTCCCCATAAACTAGAGAGTCCGTCTTCCCTAAAAATTCTCTGTAGGGATTTCACTGTCTAAATTTATGATCAAGTCCCTGATAAGATGGTGCTATTAACCCATCTCCATCTCTTGGTTATACTTCCTTTTTTCGAGAATAAAAAGTAGTAAAAGAATTCAGACAATTTGAACCTCACCATAAACCTGAAGCCCTGGGAAGATGTGGCATAACTAGGTATTAGCTTCTGGAGATCTACTTGCTACCATTTGAGGGCTCCTAGTATACCAAAGGACATGGATTGGTATATTTTTCTCTATTAAATCTTTCAATACTGTTCGGAACAGGATAACAGAATAATAGAATTGGAAGGGACCTTGGAGTCCAACTCCATGTTCAAGCAGGAAGCCCTATACCAGTGGTGGCAAACCTATGGCACGGGTGCCAGAGGCGGCAATCAGAGCCCTCTCTGTGGGCACGCGCTCCGTCGCTCTAGTCCTAGGCCCTGATTGATTGAACTTTTTAGTCCCACCCAGTCTGCTGTTACCACTGCAGCCACGCCCACCCAATGGGCCACACCCACCCAATGGGCCACACCCACCCAATGGGCCACACCCACCCGGCACTCGACGATGCATAAGTGGGTTTTGGGTTGCAGTTTGGGCACTCAGTCTCTAAAAGGTTCGCCATCACTGCCCTATACTATTTCAGGCAAATGTTTGTCCAATCTCTTCTTAATACTGCATCCAGTTTTGGTCACCATGTTATAAAAAAGATGTTGAGACTTTGGAAAGATGTTGAGACAAAAGGAGAGCAACTAGGATGATTAAAGGCCTGGAGACTAAAACATATGAAGAACGGTTGCAGGAATTGGGTATGGCTAGCCTAGAGGAAAAAAAGGACTATGGGTGACATTATAGCAGTATTTCAATATTTGAGGGGCTGCCACAAAAAAGAGGGAGTCAGTTTATTTTCCAAAGCACCAGAAGGCAAGACAAGAAACAATGAATGGAAACTAATCAAGGAGAGAAGCAACTTGGAATTAAGGAGAAACTTCCTAACAGCGAGGGCAATTAACCAATGGAACAGCTTGCCTCCAGAAGTTGTGGATGCTTCATCACTGGAGATTGGACAGCCACTTGTCTCAAATTATATAGTGTCTCTTGCTTGAGCAGGGGGTTGGACTAGAAGACCTCCAAGGTCCATTCCAGCTCTATTTTAATCAACTTTGTGGCAGACCTTTAGATATTAGAACACTGCTATCATGTCACCCCTAGTCCTTTTTTCTATTACTTTTTCTTTGGCATTTCACTCTGATTTCAGCCTACTGTCTTTAAATCTTAATGAATGTATTGCCTCCTGACTGGCAGCCAAGATGCCAACACAGCATCTTTCTCATTCATTTAATGTAGTATAGAAAAGAGTTTTATACCTCTCAAAAGTTTATATTGTACTCACATAAGGTATATCCTCAATTACTACTACTATTGCTATTACAGATGGTCCTCACATTCATTCAGTGTCTGCTCAAACTTATGACAGCGTTGAATGAATAATACTTACGACTGGGTCTTGTCCTTAACATTGGTTGCAGTGTCCCCATGGCCACGTAATTGCAATATGACCTGGCTTCCCATTACAATGCCCTGCGTTCATGTGATTACAACTTGTGACCTTCTTTGCTGGTTTCCTACAGGCAAAGTCAATGGGGAAGCCAGCAAGATGGTGCAAATAGTGACCATGAGATATCCTCACTTAATAACTTGTGGTGATTCACTTAATAGCACTAGCACTTAAGACTTGTATACCCCTTCACAGCTCCCTCTAAGCCGTTTACAGAATCAGCATATTGCCCCCAACAGTCTGGCTCCCCATTTTATGGACCTCGGAAGGATGGAAGACTGAGTCAACCTTGAGCTGGTGAGAATTGAACTGCTGGTAGCCGGCAATCAGCAGGATCAGCCTGCAATACTGCATTCTAGCCACTGTGCCACCACGCCTCTTATAGATCTTAATTCGGGATGCCAAATATACCTCTCTGGAAAAGACATTTCATAAACAGGACCTTAACAATTGAGAAGGCCTTCTCCCATATACTGTAGCTACCACCACTGGGAGCTCCAAAGATAATTAAAAAGCCATTTCCTTTTTGTTTCATGCCATTCAGGGTTTTAAATAACAGCACCAAGACTGAGCCTAGAAGTTAGTGCAGTTGAACGAGACTATCAGTCAGTACAGGAAATGAAACACGGGCATTATATGCTTAGCCTGTCCCAGGCAATCGCATTGGTCATGATTCTATTTCAGATTAACTGAACCAGTATCTTTTTAAAAAAATGTAAAGGCACTTTAGAACTTGAAATATTTTAGAAATCCTTATCTGGAAGGGAAACTGTAATTAAGAGACCCATTTCAAAGCATCCATATAGTAATGAATATACTAATAGGCTTCATTGTTATAATTACTATGTTTAAACAACTAGCAACAATAATTATATTTTATGCCCGTTCGTGAAGCTTTTACCTTGATTGGGGCTGTAGAAAACTTCACTTTTCTAGCTGGATCAGGATCTTCTTCCTCAGAAAGTCCAGAAAGTTCCTCGTAATCACTATTATAGTTATATTCCTCCTCTTGCAAGGTTTCTTCTCTTTCAGGGCCCTGACTAAGTAGTTCTGGTTCTCTGTCATCATCAAAAGCTGCATTCTCTATCCCAAAAGCATTGGAAGAAACCCCATTAAACTTCTTTCTCTGTTCTTGTTCTTCCTCTTCACCATCCCCTACAGGTTTTACATTGACCTGCTCTTGTTCTTGAACTTTGTCCAGAAACACTAACTCTCTTGCTCCTTTTTGATTAACTGCACTGTCCTCATTAGAGTCTTCAGTTTCTTCAAATGTCCAGTCATTTTTCTCATCTTCCCAACTTGGAAATCTGAGTGATTTTTCCTTCTGAAATACATTAACCTCCCCAGTGATTTCATTGTTATCCCCTAAAGTTTTGTTCTGCACCATGATCAGTTCAGCTCTGGCTACTTCTACTTGGGAAATTTTTATAGGGGCTCTATCCACTTTAGAGCATATGCTGGTTTTATATTGTTGCTCCCTTTCGGAAATTTGATCTGTTTGGGAAGTTACTTCAGTTGCATCACTTAACTCACTCCATTCGGTAGAAGTACTGCTTATCAAAAGGGAAGACTCTGCAACAGGCTGATTTTGCTGCAAATATTCTTCTTTCCTAACTACTGGCGATTCCCAGCTGCAGAACGCTGTTTGGAGAGGGTTTGGGATATCCTTAGTTTTCAAAGTATCTTTGAAGTCGTCATTGTCAACGTCAGCCAAGAAACTCTCCAGTCTTCGAGAAATAGGTCCTGCATTCAGTGAAGAGGATTTACAACTGCCAGTAGATTGCTGTACCTTTTGATCACTATTTTCTTGATTCTCTGCTTTATCCACAGCAACCTGAGAAGTTACATCAGTATTGAAATTAAATTGATCGGTCACACTACTGCAATCAGAAGAAGTAGAACCATGTCGTCTTCTGTCTTCAATCCTTTCATTTTTAATGGGAGTACTTCTATCCAATGAACTTGGTTTTTTAATGTTCCTTTCAAATAGTTTCCTGGTCTCAGAAAACTTCTCTGCTAGTGTAGCTTTGTCTAAATTTCCCTCTTCTTTGCTGCAGATAATTTTATCAGTGAATGAACCTGCAGGTAAAGGATCCTGGGAACTAGAAAAAGAACCACTGTTGAGTAGGTTATTTTTTTGAACACAGAGGTAAGATGGGCTACTAGGAGGAGGAAGTGCAAGATCAGCTGAAGTTATTTTATTAATAATTCGGGGCTCAGAGGGTGAAGTGTTTTCACAACATGGTGAATTGGAAGAACCACCCATCTGCATGAACATGTTTTTGATCTTGTGTACTCTGTTGCCATAGTTGACAGCTCTGCCACGAACATGTGGATCATTACCTTCCCCATTGGATGAGTTGGACAACCTTTGCTGAGGATTAGACTTGTTGGAAGCATTATCAGTATTCACTGAATCAAAACTGCACTTAATTGCATGAAAATCAGTTTTATAGGTATTTCTGTGTGGAGAGGCACTTCTTAAAGTTCTGTCTCCTTTGCCTTCAGTCTTCATCATTGTCAAACGGAGAAAGCCTTCAATTTTTTACAAATGAGAGTCTGAAGAGGTGAAAACCAGCAGCAGCTGCCAGTGCTGCTCCCACAATGCGATACAGTCCTCTTACAGCCTGGAGAGAGAATGAGACTGGAAGACGCCTCTCACCATTTTATTCTTCCATAAGAGCAATGAAATATGTGGTGGGAAGGAGGAGGAGAGGCGCAGACAAAAAACAACAAGCACTTCAGGAATGTATCTAGAAAAATGAGATGCTAGCACCGTAGCTGATCCATTCTTATCCTGAAAGATATCTGCAAAAAAAACCAACAACTTTGTGAGCCAGAGACATCACTCATTTATACTAAGCATTTCACCCTTGTGTTAAAATGGAATTCCATAGCCTAAGGAACAGGGAGAAATTTATTTAAAATGTGGTCTATCAACCAAGGGACAAATAACTAAAAAAAAAATCTTTGAAACTCAAAAAAAGAGTCCACAAGAGGCAGATCTTACGGAGACTCTGCCCCACACAGTGAAAGGTATTTTCATTGCCAAGGCTGGCCTTTGTAACATATGAAATAGCAAACAAGGAAAAGCAGATAATGGCTTTCAACCTGTGCCAAAAATAAGGGATTCTTCTTTCCCTCTCCGGTGAACAACTATGGCAAGTTCTTCCGCTTTCAGGATTAAGGAGTCTAGGGGCTGAAAGCGCAACCTTCGCACCGTAACATTTTTCACATGAAAAGAAATTGTTGGAACAGCGAAGTTTCTTTCCAGGCATGAAGCAAATCTGAAGATTTGGGGTCTCTCTCTCTCTCTCTCTCTTTCCCCCTGCCTGTCCTCCCTCCCACAAAAACTCTTCTTTTTCCCTTTCCAAAAGGCAATCAAGTAACTAGCCATTTCCTCATAGGCCCACCATTTCTGGATCTCTTTTTCCCCTTAGAGCAAGGGTAGGCAACCTTGGCTCTTTTATGACTCGTGGACTTCAACTCCCAGAATTCCTGAGCCAGCACGGCTGGCTCAGGAATTCTGGGAGTTGAAGTCCACGAGTCATAAAAGAGCCAAGGTTGCCTACCCCTGCGCTTAGAGAGAGACCGGCAGAAATTAGGAAATAAAAAAGAGGAGACGGGAACGGACGACAACTAATCTCTTCGTTGCCGAAGCGCTTATTCCGCCAAACTCTTCCCCCCCCTTTTCCCCGTCCTCCTCTCTTTCCCCACGAATCTGGGTTTTTCTTTCCTACCAGAAATGCGAATCGCTTCGGGTAAAATCGGGGTTTCCTCCCGGGTGACGAACGACCCCCCGCCCCTCAGTCTAGCATAGCAGGACTCGGAAAGGTGGAAGGAGCCGAGCAGCAAGAAGCGACTTGAGCAGCTCACAATGGAAGCCGCCGCCAACTCTCCGACTCGGATTCTCCTCCCTCTTTTCGTCCGTCCCGGTAGCGAAGCGCTCGAGGCGAGCTTTGCGGGCCTGGCCCTCCCTCCCTCCCAACTTTTCAAACTAACCCCCCCCCCTTTTTTTCTTTTTTTTTCCCCTTCTCCTCCTCCTCCTCCCCCCTCTCGCACTTACCTGAGATAAACAGCGGAGCCTACGCGGCGGCGGCGGCGGCTCTTCCTCTTTCCCCAGTTAATTGCAGCTTCCCGCCCTGGCTTTCCCCACCAGCGAAGCCGCCCAACGGATCGTCCGACTCGCGCCTCCCCCCTCGACAGCTGCCCCCGGCCAGCCGTTGTTTTTCATCGGTTGCGTTTTTCTTTCACGCCGCCGCCGCCTCCGCTCCGACTCTTCACCCGCTCCGACTCTCGGTCTCGCGCGCCCGCCCGCCCGCCCGTTCACTCGCTCGCCCACCCGCGCGGCCGCTTTAGAATCCCGCTCTCCTCTCTCTCTCTCTCTCTTTATTTTCTCTTGGTCTTCTTCTTCTTTCCCTCCCCTCCCCTCAGGCCCGCGCGGGCGGGCGGGCGAGCACGCGCTTCACTTCTCCGCACAAAGAGCCCTATCCGACCCAGCGCGAGCCCGACTTCTTTCTCTGCCCCCCCCCCTCTCTCTCTCTCTCCGCGAGGGAAGCGAACGCAGGGAAGCGGGGGCGGGATCAGAGGTGAGAGACCTGAAGGGGAAAGGCGAAAAGCGAGCGAGTCTAAGGAAACGCCTGCCTCTTGTTGGGATGTACCATCCCGGGATTAAGGGGGTTGGGCGATACCAACCCTGGAAAGGTCCGGAAAAACCTGGTTGCATCCATTGTTCTGAGGTTGCCCCCCCCTGCTGGCATTTTTCGCCCCCTGCCTAATAAAACGTGACGGGGCATAATTATTAAAAAATAAATAAATAAATAAAACGATTGTGGTTTTTTTCCATTTCCTAGGCGGTTCAGAGGAGATCAAGAACATAGGGAAGAAGAGGCTGGCTTTCCACAGCACAAGAGGTTGGCATTTTTTTTGGCCAACTACCCTTCGTTCCCTTTTTGCACTTTTTGCTCAGTAAAGGATATGAGGAGCTGGAAATGTTTTAACCTTAGCAATACATAAATGTTACACGTTATTGAACTTTACTCATTATAATTATTTTTCAGGGTAACTCCACAATACAAACAACTTGAGATTTTTTTTATATTTATTGTTTTATCATAGAGAGTAAAATACAAAACAATGAAAAAACAACAAAATGGAACAAAACAAAAGCAACAACTAGAAAAAAGAAATATATATATACAAAACAAGAAGAAAAGTGGTTAATTAAATTTAACATTTAACATGTAAGATCCACTCTGACTGGGTGCTGAAAGAAAAGAAAAGAATAAGCAGTAAATTCTCCTTCCCCTACATTATATATATATATAAATAAGAAAGATATATATATAAAATAAGAAAGAAAAAAGTCAACATATTGAGTTAAACACTACACTAATCTTCAAGTCCCTCTGTTATCCATCTGTTATTATATTTAGCGTGTAGAAATCTACAGTTTCCAGTCTTTTATAAAGCTGCCTAGTCCATTATCTCTAAAAAGTTCATTAAGTCTAATTTTGCCATCCCTGCTAATTCAGTCAATTTCAAAATCCATTCTTCAACATTTGGCATCTCTTTTTCTTTCCAGTGTTTAACTAGTACAATCCTCGCATCCATCACAATTTGAAGAAATAGCATCCCAAATTGTTTTCAATTGGCTGGTCTATCATACCTAAAAGAAAAGCTTCAGGTTTCATTAATATTTGTATCTTAAATATTTTTGCATTGTCATTGTTATTTTATCCAGTATGTTTTCACATATTTGCAAGACTACCACATATGATAAAATGAGCCTGGATTTTGATTACATTTCAATCAATACCAAAGCATTGGCAAATGCACATAATTTGTAACTATGCACTTTAATTTGTAGTCCTTTTGCTCTGTTATCCTGTCTAATATCTCCATTTAAAATTTCCAACACTAGAGTAAATAATAAAGGAGATAAAGGACAGTGCCTGTCTTGTTCCCTTCTGGATTTCACATGGTTTTGTAAAGTCTCCATTCACCATGATTTAAGATTTCTGAAGTGTATAGAATGTATAAAGCCCAATCCAAAATCCAGCTTTTCCACTACTTTAAACATAAAGGCCTACGTAGTTCAAGTTGTCAAAAGCTTTTTGTGCATCCAGAAAGACTAATGCAACCAGTCATTACGTTGTAGTAAATATTCAATTATATTCAAAATTACTCTTACATTATCTTTTACTTGTCTTTTAGGTAAGAAACCACACTGGTTTTTATGTATATAATTCTGTAAAACTTTTTTAAGTCTTTCAGCTAAAATAGATATAAAGAGTTTGTAGTTATTATTCAGGAGAGAAATTTGTCTGTAGTTCTTCATAGAAGTTAAATCCAGTCCATCTTTGGATATTAAAGAAATGTAGGCATATTTCCAAGAGTCTGGTATAGGGTTCCCCTGTAAAATAAAATTCATTAAGTCCATTTGGAAGAAGTAGTTGATCTTCAAAAATGTTATAGAATCCGCTCAGTAGGTCATCTGGTCCCAGAGCTTTGCTCGTTTTAGCTCTTTTAATTCCTTCTATTATTTCAAAAGTTGTTGCTGGTCTATTCAAAATTTGCTTGTAGTTTTCTGATAGTTTAGGAAGATTTTTCATTGTTATATACTCCTCCATAATATCTAAAGAGATTTCTTGTTCATTATATAAATTGGTATAATAATTCCAACAAAGTCTTTAAATGTTTTTGTTATTCATATAAGTCTTATTCCCCTCTTGAAACTCAGTTATCATCTTCTTTTCTGTCTGTTTTCTTAGTTTGTATGCCAATGATCTCCCTGGTTTATTTGCATATTCAAAAAAATGTTGTTTTGTATATTTACGTTTCTTTTCAATATCTGAAACAGTCACCAAAGAAATTTGTTATTGCAATAATTTTAGTTGATTAAGTATGTTAGGATCTTCTGGTGAATTCTGGAGTTCCCTCTCCTTCAGTTTAATTTCTTGTAGCACATTTTGGATTTTTTCGTCCTCTTCCGCTTAATTGCTGTATTGTATTGTATAAAATGTCCTCATATCACAACATTACAAGCATCCCAAACTGTTGTCAAATTGATTTCCTTACCTAAATTATTATTAAAATAGTCTTGAAGTACCTATTTACATTCTTTAAAAATCTGTGTCTCTGCAAAACAGACTCATTTAATTTCCATTTAAAAACTAAGGACCAAATGTAAGATGTAAAGACACTGGATTATGGTCAGAAAAAGTTTTTGGAAGAATAATAGCTTTAGTTGCTTTGTGAAGCAGATTTTTTGTAATCCAAATCATATCAATTCTAGAAAAGGATTTGTGTCTCTCTAAAAAGAAGGTAAAGTCTTTTGTTAGTCCATTTTTACACCTCCAAACATCAATCAAACATATCAGTCAGCTAAAGAAAAGTTTCGGGCAGTTTCCCTTTTGTTTCTTTAATTCCTTTATCAGCTAATCTATCTACTTGTGAGGTTACTACCCCATTGTAGTTTCCAATTACACACCAATACTGAAAAGGAGAGAACTAGATGCATTTTCCAACAATTCCTGTAATTCTCAGGCAGTACAGCTAGGCTGCATATGAAAGAAAGTATATCAGATCTTATCATAGACATAGACAATATAGACAATTGTTTGCCCTCCATAGACATGTGGATAGAGGAAAAAGATAGAGAACATACTGTAAATCTATTGAATGGTGACATTTCTTGAGGTGTACACAA